TTTTTTTTTTTTTTAAGTGACAAAAGTGATCAATCTATTAAGGGTAAGCAATTACTTTCTTGGATAAGATGAATGACCAATCAGATAGGTAGCAGAGCTTGACCAATAACAGTTGGCAAACTAAACTTCTAGTTTTCTTTTTTAATTGGAGTCAGAGCTGCTCCACATATGGCTTCAAGGCTACAGATTTACAAGAATTACATCAGGTACTTGAAATCATTCAGGATTGAATTACCTGGAGTACAATTACATATATGCCACTGTGTATGTAAGTCCATCAAAAACGGTGTCGCTGGTGCATGGCAGACATCTGCGACTGGATCATGTTCTAACACTCTCCTACATAGGGTGTAGAAACCATCTGTTGGTGCGAAGTAACTGCACATGGCTAACTGTAAATTGTTTAAATGTGAACAATGCACCGATGCTTCCTAAGAAGTTCTGTGTAGGAAAAGTCAGAATCATTCTTATCCCCTTTAAGAAAGCTTGGATAGCTCTAAATAAAAGCATGCTGTGTGTGCTGAAAGTAATCCAAAGGTTCATTCACGGGAATAACTTGTGGTAACTGCTACTTTGTCACTAAACCTTTTAAAGGCTGCCAGTACAAAGTTCCACAAAAGTTTGCGTGTGCATAAGTGTGTGTGTGTGTGTGTGTGTGTGTGTGTGTGTGTGTGTGTGCGTGTGTGCGTGCGTGTGTGCTTCGCTGGCAAGAAAAACGAGTGACATCTGCAGATGAGTGCTATTAANAAAGGCTGCCAGTACAAAGTTCCACAAAAGTTTGCGTGTGCATAAGTGTGTGTGTGTGTGTGTGTGTGTGTGTGTGTGTGTGTGTGTGTGTGTGCGTGTGTGTGTGCGTGTGTGTGTGGGGAGTGGCTGGTTCTAAGGTCCCATAAAGCCTCAACAGCTTACCACATGTAGTACAGTCCATATAGTTTACACAGGAAAACAGATTTTACCATCTAATGTGATGATGTGTTGCGTGTGTGGAGAAGTGACTCTGTTCTCTGAGGTCAGATTCTTTCCTTTTTTTCAGGATTTATTTAACACAGCTTACAAGTTTCCTCTTAGAGCCTGCTGTAACATCACAGTGAAAGATAAGGCTGTCCAGCAGGAGAGTGGAAGATGTAAAAAGAAAGAATGAGGAGAAAGGGTGGAGGCCTTTTTTTTTTAAAAAGGGCTTTTTAAGATTTGAAGTTAGAGTTATGGCCGTGTGTGCATATGTGATGTCAGAGTTAAAAACTCCTAGCTTTTCAAGGAGATTAATTCTAAATGCCTTGTGGGAGTTGGGGGAGTAACGGCAATGGCGGCAGCTCAAAGAATGCAAGTGTGTGTGTGTAATGAACAAGTGGGTGTGTACTGTTTGAGGTGCTTTGAACATTAAATGGTCTTTTACAATGTTATATACCGAATTGTGGTGTTACACCATAAAGAGATGTAGTGTGTTAGTGCGTGCATATTGCTGAGAAAGAAATAGCATATTTGTCCAAAACGGGAACTAGAAAGTGTTTGGCCAGAATTCAAAACAATGTGTTATTTGCTCCAGATTTAAACTGACATGATAGGGCTTGTTGTAATTATCACTTGAGAGCATTTAGTCTTGTTTTCACTGAATCACTGCAATGGAAAGCAGAAGCTGTTCCAAAAACATTTGGAGCCGTTCTGCTGTTGGACGGTGTCTCTGTTTCCCTCTGATTATTGGATAATTCAATCTTTGGGAAAGCAGGGGGCAAGATGTGAGAAGTTAATAGCCCATAACATTTCACAATGTCTAATTTATTAGCATGTCATACACCCTGAGCGTTTCGTTTTGCTTAACCTCAAACACCTTAATATCACCCC